AATCAGACACAGGGTTCAGAGTCAAACGCCAGCCTTAAAGGACTGAGGTAGGAAGGTTATTCCATTCCTAACCCTAACAAAAATATACCCGCTAAAGTTCCATCTAGAGCATGTAAACCGGCGTGCTCAGCTTCCAGAACTTATATTTTAAAACAAAAGTCCAAAAAATGTATGTATATGCCAATACATTAGCACAGACATACATTTCTCCAATCGAATCCCAGTTAAGAAACGATCTACAGATCACACGGCTGTGGATTTATCATCTCATCAATGAATCGATTCTGGTTGCTGAGCCAGTGTTCAAAAAAAGTAATTAGAAGCAATGCAGATGTGTGATCACAACTACATTTTGAAGGGATCATGAATTTTGATTCTTATGGGAAGCAAGGCCTTGCTTCCCATAAGTACCCAGGGGGCCTTAAAGTAAGGAACAATCTGCAGTATCAACCTCTTCTCTTTCTGTACTTTGAGACCACTGAATTTCTTACTCAAGAGATTGTCAAGGCAACCTTGACTATTAAATCCTAGCACATGGCAAGACAAGTTTAGTTGCAGCAACCTACCACAGGCTGATTTAATTCAGGGATATACAGATTTAACCTACTAATGCACTGGCTCATCCTCCAGCTAGCTTTGAGAGTCTCACCTCATCTTTGGGCTGGGAGCCAAAACATATTAGCTGCCCATGTGATAGTTGGTATCCCGGGCAGTTGGGTTTTTAAAATGCAGCCCAATGGCTGGAATTAGTTAGCCAGAGAAAAGATACAAAACTAGTGAAGTTGGAGGAGAAATGGCACTTCAGTCCCGTTATGAAATTCACTTCTGTGCCAAGCTCACTGATGCTTAGGGAAAGGTCTAAGGCCGTGGTTCTCAACCCATTTACCATTGTGGCCCACACATGCAGTTCTCTCTGTGTTATGTGGCCTGCACCCACACAATATATATATACTACCTGTATGGCCCCGAGGATGTCACATGGGCCACAGCTGTGTGCTGATTGGGCCACAAGCGGTCTGCAGGTTATGAACCACTGGTCTAAGGTCTCCCTCTATTCTCCCACCCCGACACAAAATGTAAAGGCAGTTTCTCTGTATAGTCTCGCAACCATTTAAAAAGCCACCACCAAAATGAGTCACTCAACCAGTTATTTCCACTAACTCTGGAAGAAATAATGCTTATGGAGATTTGGCAAGTGGTAAATGTAAGGTGGGCTGAGGTATTTAAATTCATCAGCACAAAGGAACCGTGCAAGGTTTCCACATCTAATTGGACTATTCAGCAGGTGGATTCTACTGCTGAGTAGTTTTTTGGTCATTAACCCTCAGCCCCAAATACATCTCGGGGAAGGGGGGTTAATTTGCCATGCAAATAAATGAACTGATGGACAGTTCAACTCCTCCCTCATTGCCCCTTTTGTGAGAGTAGGAAGGCGGGGGCACTGAAGCCTCATTTCCTTACCTATACGGACATGCCATTTGTATTACTGAACTCCTTATCTAGAAAGGTTTGGGGTAATTTTCAGTAATGCTCATTAAGCTACCAAATGACTTCTGAAAACAAATCATGTCTGTGCCACACAATGTCCCCTGGCTTCCCTGGGGTTCCACCTATGGAATGACAGCAGGACATGACCCAAAGCAAGTAAAGAAGCCAAAAGCAGTCCAACTGGCCAAGTGAGCAGGTGCTTCCATTGCAAGGAACTTTGGATCAGGAGCCTAATCGCTACAGACAAAGCCACAAATGTTCTGCAAGAAATCTTATGGAGGAAGGCCCCCCCAAGATGAGGTCTCCTCAGTATAAACAACAGAACCACTTCTGCTGGTAATGGAAGCTATGAGTATTCATTTAGTCTCATTTTCACATGCTCTTAATGCTCAATTCTCATTGGTCTAAAACTGTTCTTAGTCAAGGTGGGATTATATTTTTGGAAAGTTTGAGGAAAATCCCTTTGGCTGTTTCAGCTGGATGTTTATTCACTTTCCTTAACGCAAGAGAGCTCTCTCTCACTCTATCAACTAAAATGTCTCCAAGTGAATTGTCCTCCATGACCACTGCTCAGCTGGGTGGGAGGAAGAGTGTGGTTTAAAAGGTGTTCAGATATCACAGTAATGGGCATAGTACAAGAATCTACAGAGAAGAGTCAATACCATTCTGCCTAATACAGCCTGTAGTGGGCAGAGAAACCACATAGCTCAGTGTCTGGCCTGACCACAAACAGTTTGCAGGAAACGAAGTTTCTCATTGAAACATGAACCTGTCAAGATCAGAGAGAGTGGAGAAAATGGTGGACAAGAAAGAAACCATTATTAAGATCATGGGATCCACCTTTTTTGATACATTATTTGTAGTTCTGCAAAAAGCTTTCAGCTTAAAGAACATTATGTTGCTATCATTTTTTCCTTCTGAAGACCGCAGCTAGAAACAGATGTACAGCTACACTGTTAACTCAGCCTTGCAGAAATCTGTCTGCAGCCAAGCAGCAGCAACGCAACCTTTACCCACACAATTTACATCAACAGAATAAAACTTCAAAGCCTAATTGGGACTATTTAAATACTAACATTATGAAAGTAGTCCTCCCCCCCCATCTCCCCCAAAACCCTACTTCCCCAAAACATGAAATGCAAAACTTATTGCAATGTTATGTAAACACATTTAGTTTGCACAGTCAGGAAGCAAAAGGTTTATGCTTCTCTCACTGGCATTAGCTTGTTTACACTGTGCCTAGTACTTGTATTTAGATACACATGCAAAAAATTTTCATATAATATTGTTACAAGTATATCTAAATGAAAGCAGCCTACACAATATAAATGAATGTTGCTATGAGAAACGCAACTTTCGTTTTCTAACATGCTTGCATATTTAAGTTTAACTTTAAAGGCGCAGCTCTACTTTGAAGAGTGCCCAAGTTTAATGTGTGGTTCCACACTTGTGTATCAATGATTTCTGGAGCAAATTCGCTTAGCATACCAGAGATGCATGTGTAAGCTATCTGGCAACCATGCCAGAATCGGAACATGCAACCATGCTAGGAATCTGAACACCAGACAGTTCTTTATGGCTCACCCATCAATAAAAATTCTGCAATAGGAACTTAATGAATTTTATTGACAATGTGTGAGACTGAACAGAATGCGCCTCATTCTCCCACAGATGCGTTGGCTCTGCACTGTTAACGGGAGTAAATATCCGTCACTATGAGAGGTGATCAGATGAATAAGATGCTTTCGTATACTCTGTTTTCTATTTTTTAAAAAGTCACCTGTAGGATAATTTTTGCTTGTTGTTACCAGAAACATCTAAGGTTATAATTGAAAAAGGAGACATCTCTATTTTTCAATTTTAATCTGCACTTGACAGCAGGCTGAACATTTAGTTTCATTGACTCGATGTAGCCAGTCTTCCCTGTTTATCTAGGTCTCAGAACAAGAGGGACAGAGCATTTAAAATAGAAACCTATGGCTGCAAGAGAGTTGGTCGGGGACTTGGGAGAGAAGGTGTATGTAACTGAAGCTACTTCAAATTGGAAGCCTAATATTCTTAGAAAAAAATTAATTAAATTTTGCCTTTTTAAGTATAATGCTACCTTTGGTTTTCACTCAATATCAAGATTGTCTCTCAAAGTAATGAGTCAGGGTCAGCTGATCTGGATCTTGACCTCATCAGCTCAGTCTGTTGTTACAGAACAAGGTGATGGTTGGACCTCACCAGTGTGCTGTTCAGTTTGTCACCTTCTCATTTGAAGGGTATTGCAGTTAGCTGATCAAAACAAGAAAACTACCATTCAAACTACCCGCCATGTTAAGACAATGAAAGAATTTTGCTATCCCTCCGCATAAAGCATCATGGTGACAGAGGTTCGGCCTCGCTCTCCTTTACCTTTCCACTTCAGAAAGGGAACTTGGATGAAACTAGAAGGCTCCCCCCACACCATACCTATCCTGCTCCTCTTACAAGAGTTGCAGTACCTAAGAATGACAACTAGAGCCAAAACAAGGTCTCCATTTGAGACACAGATTGGGCAACTTCTTTTAATTTAGACCCAACCCTGTATGTTACTTTAGGAAACTTTCCTTTACAGGGGCATGACTTGCCTTTGGACAGCAGACCAGCTGTTCTAACTGCTTCTATCACAGTCATCCAACAAGATCTGACAGTACAATGCTAATGCTTCTCTCCTTGCTCTTAGGAACAAAAGCTAGCTCGTCACTCGTTCACTTTCTCGAACTCCCAGGAAGACGAGCCAAATGCAAAAGAAACTCCAAGGTATAGGTTAGATACAGAATTTTGCTTAGAATTACAGTTGCCAATCAAGTAAGCTAGAAGGTGTGAAACCATTTTATTTTGGTTCAGATAGGAAGCTTTCTAGAGGAATCATTTGACTGGAAGTGTCTATCCAAAATGCATTCATTACAAGTCGCATTTTTTACTAAATGTTTTCCAAAATAGCTGTAGTCACGCTAGTATCTTCTCTCTGTGAATCTTGTCACCATTCAGTTAAGTAATACAGCGGTGGGAGACTCAATTCAGTTATGATCTAACTGAAGGCCCACCACAGGAACAACTGCCTCTAGCATCAGTTAAAATGAAAGACCTGTGCGACAAGTAATGGTACTTCACAGCACCAAGCGATTCTGACCAAATGGTCAGGGGCACATAGCCAAGGCAACACCTACAGCAACAGTTTTACTGCTAGGAAGCCTACAATGATGCTTATGACCCATCATCAACAGATCCTGCTTGGGGCTTATGGAAGTGGATCACATGTCAAAAATAAGAACTGGGGTGAAGAGCCTACTTAATAGAAACTTAGTCCAATATATAAAAACGTTCAAACGGTTTAGGGACAGTAACAGGAATGATTAAAAATTCCTGCAAAGGCGGTGGTTAATATTAATGTCTTTTCTTTCCACCTAGTTTTGCACTTACATCTATCAAACTAATTGGATGTGCTGCCTCAGCTGGCTGACAAACACATGGACATATGCAGCAACTTAAAACAGTCATTTAAAGCCTGTAATGCTCATTAACACAGTCAACAAACAGATATACAGAACTTTTTAATTGAGAAAAATATTAAAACCAAAACCCAGAAGGTCCAAAAGGCTGGGTGCGTCCCTTCGTTTTCTGAGTCTTGTAGGGACAGCCAACACCTGCCATTAACTCCTGTAACAGTTTCTTGGAACAGTAGATGCAAAGCAACAAAAGATACTGGCCACTTGAAACATGTTTGTTCTTACTTTAGAGGGGAGGGGAAGTTATAAAGCCCTGCCTCAGTTTGCCACAGACCAATAGTGTTACACTCTCAAGATCTCCAGACAGTTGTTGTAGCAGATAGCTATCCAGTCCGGCTGAGTCGATGCCCATTGTACATTGTTGATTTCCCCTTCTGCTGTGTAGGCCAAGATTGGGTCCTCAATGGCACGAGGCATTTGCTGGATATCCCAGATGAGAGCCTGATGGTCATCCGCTACAAACCGGTAAGAAAGAATTCGAATCAATCATCTCGGAAATAGGTAGAGGCATATTTACATGGCTAGTTGGAGGGATATAGTCTCAAAAGCAAGCTAAAATACAGAGTGAGAAGTCCAAATGAAAAAAAAAAACAAAACAAAAAAAAAACAAAGCTGGGCAATTCCCCCAAATATGGAGGAAATGAAGATCACATAAAATGAAACTCCTCCACTCCACCATAACCCCGCTCGTACAGCTCTTTAGATCACTACACATCTGTGATACAGTCTCAAGGGAAATGGTGGCAGCACCATCGATAGGCATATTTAAGAACCAGCACTTGGAGAAAGCACTGAATATACACTGGCAGGAACAATCTTGCATTGGCCAAGGGGATGGACTAGATGGAACCTAAGAGACCTTTCCTGTCTTTAACTTACATGGTTTTAAGCTTCGTGTCCAAGGAGATCTGCCCAATTTTCTTAGAAAATTAATACCGTTTTCTGACCACAGACATGGGTGCACAGCTCCCAATGACTTACATGAGAGCCCACACACTTAGCCAAAACCAAAAGCATGGTCTAATGGATGTTAAGAAGCCATATATTGAATCTCTCTACTGTGTGTGCAAATATATTACACCTTCAGCAAAAAAAGGGCCCTCCACAAAATATTCAGCCAATAGCAACACTAAATGCATCACAAACTAAAAATGCAGAATTTGAGCACTGTTAGCAACTATCGTTTTATTACAAGGCGAGAAAACAGCCCTTTGAATCAAGTGGTTAGCTGTTAGGGAATGCACCTACAGCTAATGAATGACTCCGACGTTCATGACGTAAGAAAGGTGTTGCCTCTTTCACAGTTCAGACATTGGGACACAGTCCCTCATTTTCAAGGCGAGACAGCCCAATATCCAAACTGCTTAAGAGGCAGCAGCTTCTCAGTTTCCCTGGAGAATTCTGGGAAATGGTGGAGGTAATAAAATGAGCCTCTATGACACCTGGATATATCTAGGGCCCTAGTCTTACTTTTTTTGCTCAAAGAGCTGGAGAGATTAGAGGTAGTGGAAATGATTGCAGGAGTCCCGGGATAGAGGTTCATACATTCAGAAAGCTCCTGGGGGACAAGACCAAAGAGGGAGGAGCTGAGAAGGAGAACAGATCTGTCCCCATGCTCACCTGCTGTACAGATATGACAGGAAGAGTGAGGCGCCCAGGCAATGCCATTCACACATGCTCTGTGGTTGTTTAACCTGGCAACAGGTGTGCAGGGAACTCTGACGTCTAGAATCACCACCTTCAGAAGCAAAAGTAAAAATGTTTATTCATTTGTTTCCTGAAGAAAAAACACCAAAAGAAAACAAGACATTTTGGCAGAATGTTATAAATACAGCACTGTCTCTAAAGACACACACGACTGACCAAAAGCGGTTTTGAAAGCAGCTAGAGAATCACTGTACACCTTGTGTAATATGTAACACAGGCAGAGTGAATTATGAAGTTACAATTCCATGGAGGAGTACTGGTGATGTCGAACTAAAGAAAAATCTACAGTGCCTTTTGGCGTCACTGGAGCAAGATGGAACTTAAGAGTATCACTCAGAGGCATAAGGACCAGTCTCAAAAATCAGCTACAGGTTAAAGGAGCCTTTCAACTCCTCAAGTTTGTAGCATCCCAACACCTACAGCTGCATATTACAGATGCAAATAAGTATACGGCCATATGAAATCAAGTCGGCTTTTATAAAGAAGCGTTAATATTGAAATTCAGCAAGTATGAGAACTTCAATACATTTGGAAAGTGAACAATGCAGTGAACAACTCCATAGAATAACTCATTACAGTACTTTTCTCAGAAGCTGGGCTTCTTGCAATCCGTATCTACAGCCCTGTCTCAGATACCCAATATTAAGCACATATGTAGTCCTCTTCTCCTCCTCCAACGTGCTTTACAAACACTGACTAATCAGTAAGCCCATCTAAAAAGTCCAACAGCCTATAGGGCAAATGCTCAGTGCCTCACCTCCATACCATCCATGGCCATTGTTGCAAGATAGTTGGGATCCTGCTTGTTCCAGCAGAGACGCAGCAAGGGATGGTGCTGTGGATCCTCATAGATAATGGTGCTGTGCTCCAGATGACGAAGGTCAAACATCCGCACTGAGCCATCTGCGCCAACTGACGCAAACATGTCTCTCCCGCCACCCGCGCGGCTAAATGCAATGTCATACACCTGCTCAGTGATAGGGGAGATAAGAACATGGCATTTTAACATTCATTTTGGCTCCCATTTCTCCATTTTCAACGAACGTGCCCTATTAATTCTTCCTCCTCCTCCCACCAGTTAGTGTTTGCAAACGCAAGAACAGCACACAGGCATGTCGAAGTAGTGACAGCACTGCTCTCTAGGCAGTTTGAAATGGGAGCATGCTAGGAGTGCTAACCACACAGCTGTGCCAGCTTCTTCATTATCTACATCTGGGCCTTTTCCTCTCCAATAAAAATATCACCATTACACAGCTGGACTGCATGTGCTACATATACTTACAGAGAAAAATACAAAAAAGTCTTAAGATCCAGTGTGGCACCAGTTTATTACCAGATATGTTCTCTGTCTGAGGAATGCACTAAGAGGGCTTTTCCATCTAAATAGTGTGTCATCACTAACTATTTACCATGTCAGGCATTTGATTTTACTAAGGAATTGCAATGAATTATAGCAAATACCACAGGTATCTTGGTGTAGAACAGGGATCTCAAACTCAAGTCACCACGAGGGCCACATGAGGACTAGTACATTGGCCCGAGGGCCGCATCACTGACACCTTTTCATATAAAGGTACAAAAGCCCCCCCCCTCCCATTCCATCCCCTCCATTGGGCCCCACCAAAACTACTAAAGACTCTAGTAATGCTCCCTGAAGTAAAGGGGCAGAAAGTCCCAGGGAATGAAGAACCCTTTCCCTTTCTCCCCCACCCCCATCAAAATGCTCACAGAGGCTTCCTCCGAAAGGCATAGGCAGCAAAGAACCCTGCTCTACTCCCTCATAAATGGAGCCAGGGAGCAAAAAAAAAAAATTTGTTTAAAAAAACAGGCAGTTAGAATAAGTCTTAGAAAAATGCTTATACTATACAGGCCTGATCCTACAAACCCGTAATTGTATGAGAAAGAGTCTGATATGATGTCCTAAGCATAAAAGGAACAAAGAAGGAAAGTCTAGAGGGTGCTGTCACTACAGGGTGATTTGGGTGCCTTAACTGTATGTTTCCATGTTTTGCTATCTTTAGGTTTCTTTTAACTTTAAACTTAAAAAAAAAAAAAAAAATTAAAAATGAAGAAAACTTTAAAAAGTTTTACCACCCTTAAATTACGAATATAGCTCTCAACTTTAAACTGGAGTTAAGTTTTGTCTGGCAACATTTTATAAATTTAATACAAATTAGAACAAAACAGCAAGCATATTCTACAGGTCCACCGTCTAAAATGAGTAAAAGCGAGTATGTAGAATTTTCAGGCTACAAGCAACTTAATTTTAGACAGATATGTAAGGTGGAATCCAAGTCTTTTTTCTAAATCCTCAGATTTTTCTGGAGAAAAATGGGAGTTCTGTTCATTCTATAGACCTTTAACAGGTTTAATGCGGACAACTGTATGAATGAGAAAAAGGAAGAGGAATATCATCACCTCTTTGTCATGTGCAATAAGCTGGGTCTTGACATGGCCCGATACCAGATTTACTCTTCCCAATACCTGCCCAGTCTCCAGACCCCAGATAGTACAGGTTGTGTCAATACTAGAGGTACCTGAAACAAAAAAGTGTCTGTTAATGGTGGTACTAACATAGATCTGCAGAAATGTCATCTTATCACTTATGGGATTAGTCTCAGATGTGCTTTGAGATCTCTGGGTGAAGAGAACTCTGCATGAGCAAAGTGTTATGATTAAAATGTTTGACATGCCTGAATTAAACTATGAATCACAGGCTGGATCTGGCCTGCACAACATGTGTGTGGCCCACATGACTCAGGTTGTGCAGAAATTTTTTAGTTAATTCTCTAGCCCTCATAGCTGTAGAGAAAGCCTTACAAAGATGAACCAAGCATAAAGCGATATCATGTCTGCCTGAGTGTACAGACAGCCTAAGATAAAGACTCAGTGGGGTGAACTCCCCTGCCCTATACAAAACTGACTGGAACATCAGCTCTAAAGTCCAACAAGGGTGGTAGTGAAGCCCTTCGGGGTGGGAATTGCTGCAAAAGAGGAAACACCGGAATAAATGTTACTACTGAAAGGAAGTATTGCCCCCTTGATCTCTGTTCAAACTTCCCCCTGATGCTAGTGGAGGTCCTGACTATGGATCAAGGGGAGTATACACCATCCTGGATTCATACCCCATCCCACAGATTATAATTAAATGATGAATTTAGCTCTCTGCTCCAAATGAGAGTGACACCTGGTTTAACTCCTGTTGCTGCAGAGGCATTTCATTGTAACAAACATGGTGCAATGGCACCTGTGGGGCAACGTTCTGTCCAACATCATCTGGCACAGTTCAGCCATTTGATTGTAGCTGAAGAGTCTGTGTATAAATTTAACACTATCAAAAGGTGCCAATCTGACAGCCCTGAAGACTGAAACCCTCTATTCAACATATAGGCTGAGCACAAGCAGCAGCCAGGGGAACACTCCCAACCCATGTGCACAACCCTGAACTGGAGATGCCTCCTAGGGGGTGGGGTGGGGGGGAGGAGAGAGAGAGAGAGAGAGTTCAGTCTCCATGGGCTGCTCTTTTGTGACATTTAAGGGAGCGGGTTTTTTGTGATGTAGAAACCTGGCCTCTGAACACCCATGAGCTGGTAGTAAGTTCTAGTCACTACTCACCTGGGCTAGATTCAAAATGGTCAATTTTATATGGAGTATTTAATGGGTCAGCAGTCTTACCTAGAAGATAAGGATCCACTTCATTCCAATCAAATGACGTTAACGGGGCACAAAAATCAGAGTTCTTATTATTGTTCAGCAAGCACTCCAGTCGGGTCTCAGTTTCACCCACCTTCAGGAAAAAGTTAAATACACAATTGCCTTATTGAATGGCCTGGATGCAAAATCCAAGAGGTGCCCCATAGAGCATAGGCCTTCAGAACTTCAAGTCTTAACTGTGTTTGACATTGGTTTCTTCCATAAATATCTATCTATTGTGAAGAACTTTCAGAGTGTTTGAAGTAAAACTGAGAAAGGTACATATGCTCTCCCCTAACAAGTTTCTGTTACAACAGCAACTACTGAGCCTTGCCATCACATTTAATAAGCTACTTTCATAATTCTGACACTGCTAGAATACTCAAGATACCTCACAGCCATTGTATTGTTATTCAGAGAGGGTTCTACGTTACTTTGAGACTGTAGGTAAAAGAACAAATTATCAACTATGTTGGCTTCCCCTCCTTCCCCCCCGGCAATATTGGTGAGCATAATGCTAGAGATAACATGCCTCAAAAGAAATAGGACTGGGAGAGAAGGGGATCAAAATGCAATGCAGTTAATGGCACATACGTGGTCCTTTTCAAGAGGCTATTTACTTACTCTCCACACACGCAGGTAATCACCGCTGGTTGCCAACAGGTCTGGATATACTCCCTTGGTGTCAGGAATCCACATGAGCTTTGTAGTAGGATATGGGTGATCAAAGGTGTTCCTGCAAATGAACTCTGAGCTCTCCTCATCTAAACCAACAAGCTGGACCTGTAAGAAAACGTCTATCAATTAAAAACTCACTTTTCTGCTTAGCAAAATAACCATGTATATAACAACAGTATTAAGACAACGTGTATAAGTGTTGCATTTTAAATGCTATATTAGCAATTAAGAGTCTATTAATGATATGCCAAAACAAACACCAGTGTTCATCTTGACAAGCTGCAAGATACCCCCCTCTCTTCCACCTTCTCAAATTTTAAGGAATACAGTCTATGGTAGGACACGAAAGATCTACTGCTAAATACAAGTCATTGATCTACCACTACCATTATATTTTGCACTTCTCTAGTACTTGCCAACCAAGTAAGTCCTCTAAAAGCATTTTGAGATAACAAAACCAAACCACTCAGCTCCTTCTGAGGTACAAAAGTATTAACTAATTTCATTTTATAGAAGGAGAAATTGGGGCACTGAGAGGTGAAGTGAGTTGCAAAGTCATAACCAGAACACAGATCTGTCCCCCAAATGATGAAAGCTATTTCTTCTCTTCCACCTATGCTGCTTTCAGATTGACAAAAAAATGTATATCAACTTTAAAAAAGGAAACATGCCCAGTCTTCCTACATATAAACCTCACAGAGTGCTTCCTGGTTTCAGTAGATGCATATGCATTACAGAAGCCTCTTTTCTAAGCATATGGGTTTAGCAAGGTAAGTGAATGAAAGTGACATGCTAGGGTGCCATATTTATTCTCTTTACATGACTTTAAATCAGTTTCCAATTCAGAAGATTCACCCCAGGTCTCCAACAGCAAAGTGCTTAAAAATCATAGCAGATGGTACAACACAACTGACGAAGTCAGAGTGACAGTATTACAAATAGTCTAAGACCTGGAAGAAGAAATCAAACTTTAAATTTTTCTGCTCCTTTATATCAAAGATTTTTAGCATGGTGGTCTATGAAATTTAGTATTGACAAGCACAAATTAAGGCACAAAGTGGGGAATAATTTGAATTTCTCAAACACTTCACTGCATTCTAAATTGGACTATGTCTACACTGCACACCTTGCAGCCGCGCTGTTGTAAGGTGCACTGTGTAGCCATTCTATCACCGGGAAAGCTCTCTCCTGGCGACAAAATAAAACCACCTCCAACGAGGGGCAGTACTTCGTCACCAGGAGGTGGCTCCTGCTGACAAAGTGCTGTCCACACCGGTGCTTTTTGTTGTTAGAACTTTTGTGGTCGGGGGGGGGGGGGGGGGTGTTTCACACAAAAGCGACAAAAGCTTTAACAACGGAAGTGCCAGGGTAGACAAAGCCTTAGATATAACACAGGGGGGAAAATCCTGGGTATTTTTGTGGCCTGCTCAATGAAAGTCTCTGCCTCGTCCTCCATGGGCTAGAGGTGAATGCTACAGCTAATCAGGGCCCTGCTGGCTTAGATAAAAGGAGCTGCCTGGCCTTAGCTATTCAGTTCCTGGCTGGGACCAGAGGGGGCAAGGAAGGGTGCTGCTCTCTGGAAAAAGGAACTTGAGGGTATATCCAGAGTTTGTTTTCTGGCTGCACTTTGCACAGCTCAGTTTTCAGAGAGAGAATCTAAGAACCTTAACCCTGAGATTAGGGTGAACCTAAAGGGGCCAGATAGCAAGAGGCTCAAGGAAGAGACAGCAATTAATTGAAACAAGCCATATATGGCTGTTTATAGGGTCCATCAGCTGGAACCTGGAGTAGTGAGTGGGCCCAAGTTCCCCTACTGGCCACAGGTAAAGTGATATAAACCCCAAGAAGTGACAGAGCTTATTTGGGAACCTGAACAAAGGGCCGAATTTAAAGGCCGCAGAGCCCTCTGAGGGCAAACAGACTGTTTATTGGACCCTAATACCGTAAAAGGGGTTTGGGATGGGGCATCTGCCCCACACTAGCCCATAAAGGGTTAACAGAACCCTAGGGAGACTGTGCAGGAGACAGCCAATTGGAGTGGAGCAGCCCCTCAATACCAGGCAGGCTCATATAAGAAGAGCAGCAGGGCAGAGCAGGTCAGTCACTCCCTGGAGCTTGGAGGACTGGCTGCCTTACAGGCAGAGGGCAGATAGCACCTTGGACAGAGCAGTGCTGGGCAGGATCAGAGGAGCGAGAGTGAGCTCTGGGCTGACTGCTGGCATGCTGAGACCCTGAGACAAGAGTGGAGAAGATGCTGGGGCTGCGGTAAAGTGGCCCAGGGAAGTAGTCTGAGGGGTGGGAGGGGACGCAGCATGTGGCTGCCACCTACAGGGTCCCTGAGCCGAGACCCGGAGTAGTGGGTGGGCCTGAGTCCTCCTCGTACACCAGTAACCACTGAGGAAGTGGCTGGACTGCCATTCCCCTGGAAGGGGGGAGAACTGAGTGTGACACAGCCGGAGGGCTGTGTCCTGAAGAGGACGTTGCGGTCCTTGTGGTGACATGGGTCCAGGAGCAGAGGTGACAGTGGGTGAGACACCACCAGAAGACGGTGCACTGCATAGCTGATCCCCGGGACATCCAGCAGGAGGCGCCGCAGTGGTGAGTCGCACCCCGTTGCAGGGTTCATTTGGACTTTGTGGCTTGGCTGGAGTGCCAAACCACAGAAGACCCACCAAGGTCAGTCAGCAACCTGCTGAAGGCATCAGGGGCGAGAAGACTGCAACACTATACTCAGCCCCAGGCACTCAAACAGGAGCATGCCCCTTCAGTTCCTCTCAGTTCTTTCCCACTTTCTTCCAGCTCTCAGGCAGAGAGAAGGCTTATTACAATAACTTTTCTAAGCAATGGTTTACTCCTGAGGGCATTCTGCACCAAACACGTAAAAATTCTGCACCGAAAATAAAAATTCTGCACACAATATTTTAAAATTCTGCAAATTTTATTTGTCAAATAAATGTGGAGGCTCCTGCATGGCATGGGGGAGCACAGGCCATTGGCTGCACAGAGGTGGGAGATCACTCTACAGCTTCCCTAGGGACATGGACTCAGCATCCAAACCTGACACAGCGCAAGCACCAGGCCTGCCCCTCTGCATTAGGTGCACCAGGTGTGGGCAGGCAGGCTCAGCCCGGCAGGATCCAAGTGTGGAGGGGCTTAGTGGAGGGGGGGGGCGGGGGAGGAGCCAGGTGTGTGGGGGGGGGTTCTGCGTGGGACCATCTAGGTGTGGGCGGCTCAGCGGGAGATCTGGATGCAAAGGGGGTTCTGGATGCAATGGTAATGGAACGCTGCAGGGGGTTCCAGGTGAAGGTAGGGTAGGATGCTGGGGGAGTAGAACTCAGTGGTGTGGCAATCCAGGTGCAGCTGGTTGGGGCACAGTGGGGTGGAGATCCGGGTGTGGGTGGCTCATCGGGGTGGTCCAGGGTGAATGGAGCTCGTCAGGGGGGTTCTGGATGCGGGGGGTGGGTGGATGAGGCTCTGCAGGAGGGTCCTGGGTATGAGGGGGTCTGGATGGATGACAGATGGGGGAGCAGCTCCCCTGCAGCTGAGGAGCCATGGGTGCAGGAAGTGGGGGGACAGGGGGGAGTTTGCAGAGCTTCCTGCAGCTGGGGGAGAAATCTGCGGGTTGGTCTGACCTACTCCTGGATGCCGTGCAGGCAAAGAGGAAGTCCCGTCCTCCCCAGCCCAGCCGGGACTAGTGCTGAGCTCAGCACAGGGTAGGAGCCACCAGCCAGGTCTTCCCCATTCCCACCCCCTGCCCTACAGTGATTTACCTCTCTGCCAGCTGCCATGGGCACCCAAAACATACTGCTGGGGAAGGTCACATGACTGCTCTTGTGGCTTCCCTTTGCTTCCCCATCAGTCATTTTTCTGGCACCTAATGCCATCAGCAAAGAAATCTATGGGGGACATAAATTCTGCACATGCGCAGAATTCCCCCAAGAGTAATAGTTGTATATTTGCCATGGCAGCCTATGTTGTCAAACACAGTTACTGAACACAAAAAGCTTTCTTAATGCAACATTACTTGATTTTTAGCAGTGCAAGCTTAATCAAGAAATAAGAGCTAAGATTCTTACAGCACTGCTAGCTTGGCCACACTGCACCTATTCGCTATAACACTGACAGACTCTAAATACATTCTATGGGTGCAATACCCAAGATCACTTATTCACTGATGCTTCAAAAACTCCCGCATCCCAATCTGGGTCTACGCTGGTTATGTCCTATGTATGTATCTTGTGAACCTTGTAACCGATACTTGTAACCTCTCATAACTTAAGCCTGACCCCAGATGTACAGTACCTTCCTTCTTAAATTGTATAAATTTGATTTTAAAGAATAGCTTTAAAATTTTTATGTGAAATATATTTAATAAAGTTTCACATGCTCTGGACAAGTCAATATTCCTGTTCATTTCTGAAGCTAATTTTAGATTAGAAACTGATTTAACATTAAAATTTTCTCCTTTACATTTTCTCCATCCCTGGAGTCTAAATGTCCCCCCTCTAAGCTGGTTTAAGACCTTCAGGTCAGTTGAGTGCTTGAACTACTTATATCAGTGAGTACTTTAGATGCAATGCATGGATATACAGTGCAAAGTTTTCTATTGCATACAAGCAAAAAGCCAACTTCTATTTGTAAATTAATATCCACTTTCTTTCAAACTTGATTATGGACAGTTCTCAATGAGTACTATTTACCTGCCAAAAGGTAACTATTCAGCTATTGGAGTTGTGTGTAAAAAAGTGTCTTTTTTTAAAAAAGAGTTTTGTTTTTCCACTGTTTAATTAAGAAGCTGTAGGGATTTTGCCCAAGCTCCCGCATCTTAACCCTCCTGACCCCCAGACACCACACACTGAAAAACTTCTGCCTCAAAATATGAATTTTCCAAAGAAAGTTATGAGTAAAGGAAGGTAAGATTGCAAGACAACTTGTCCCTAACTGAATGAATCATTGCCAAATTAATTCAACGGGATTTACGCAGCCATACGACAAAGTTATTTCTAGCTTAGAACTAATCTGAAACAGACAAACATTGTTACAATAAAAAGAGCATCTTGCTACTCCGGAAGGCAGACTCTTATCAGAGTATTCAGACCTTCCCT